CTGGCGTAGATGTCCCCGTGGCCCGGCGGGTACCAGGCCTCCGCGTTCTCTCCGCTCACCGCCATGTTTTTGGCGATCGGCAGCAGCGACTCCTTGTTGATCCTCGGATACCTGCGAGGGGAAACTGTCAGTTTGATCCCCACTGACTCTTAAACATTCATTTACTTTATATTTATTTATGTATTCGGACATATTCTCTCTGTTTATTTATATTTGTATCTTTATTTACGTTCTTCTGTGTTTAATCACAAACTCCTTGTATGTGAAACCTGATCCTGATTCTGATTCAGATTCTGATCCTGATTTAGATCCTAATTCTAATCCTGATTGTGATCCTGATTTAGATCCAGATCCAGATCCTGGTCCTGGCTCCGGCGGCCCTCATCAGACGGTACCTGCTCTGGTTGAAGGTGTGGATGTTGACCCGGTGGTGTTTGTACTTCTGCAGGATCTTCTTCGTGTCGTCGTCGGTGTTGAAGGAGTTCATGAGGACCAGCGGCACGTCGGCGTTGAAGGTTTTGTTCAGGTGCTGAAAACGAGGGCAACGACAGTTCAGTTGGACCCGACCCTCGGGGGCTCGGAGGTTCTGGTTCTGCTGCGGCGGCGTTTTACCTCGATCTGCTGGACGGTCAGGTCCAGGAAGGTGTTCTCGTTGCGGACGCTGATCAGACTCTTGGGGCCCTTGCAGCCCATGCTGGTTCCCAGACCGCCGTTCAGTTTGACCACGGCGAGCTTGTTGAGGCTGGCGCTGACGTTGTCGGGGAGACCCTTCGCTTTGATCTTCTCGTAGGGCTGAATCTGAGCAGACGAACACAAAGGGACTTATTTATTTTCTCAGTGTTAATTAAACTTTAATAAAGTTATTAATTTAGATAAAACTCCTTCTTTTATCTATCCGTCTGTTTTCAACGAGCTCTAACAAAAACTGTTATAAATATAAATTAATGACGGAGGATGTTTGTATCAGGCTGCGTTAGCTTTACTTGGTGACCTTTAGGGACAGACGACCTCTGACCTTTAAAACCTCACCAGCAACACATGACAGCAGAGAAAGGACATGTATTTATGGACAGTGTGTGTGGTGTGTGTGTGTGTGTGTGTGTACAGTAGTGTTTGTGCAGCATTTGTGTAAATATAAAGTTTACTAACTGCAGCTGCAACAATTAAATTGATCAACTTTTAAATTGATCACCAACTATTTTGATAATCGATTGTTTTTTGAGTCATTTATTAAGAAATTCTCTGATTTCAGCTTCTCAGATGTGAATATTTTCTGGTTTCTTTAATCCTCTGTGACAGTAAACTGTGTATTGATTGATGTTATAAATGTAGAGGACAGAAAATATACAATAATCTTCTCAATCACTGATTCAATTAATTATTTATTAACATTTTCCCGTCAGCTCGCTGTCAGATAAGTATAAAATATATATATTTTTAAGGCTCATGTATGTTTTTTTCTGTATTAATCATTATTTATTTATATTTAAGACACTTTGTCATCATAATCTTTATTACTGGCAGAAATGTTCTTAATCTTTTCTTAATCTCAACAACTTTAAAGTCGACTCATTTTGTTCCTTCCTGACGATAAGATGGTAACTCTGCAATCATCCTCTCGTTTCCTGTCCCCTCTGCCCTCTGTCGGCTGATAAGAAGTTTAAAAACAGTTGTTTTGTGGTTTATTTGATTCTCTCCATTGCCTCTAAGAGACGATCGGTATGTTAATCGGAGTCGAGCAGTCACACAGGAGACAAATGTCAGCGTCTGCCCGACCTCACCGCCCTAAAATCAGACTTTTCAAATGCTGCGGCGGTCAGACTATTCTTGGTCCTAACCTTCACTGTACACGGGTATTTTAGGAACACTGGGAGTGTGTGTGTGTGTGTGTGTGTGTGTGTGTGTGTGTGTGTGTGAAATGTCACCGTGCTGATAAATAGTTGGCTTCAGCCTGAATGTTCTCTGTGCTCGGATCCGGTTTCGTTAGCTTGTTTCCGAGAGCACGAGGCTCGTCTCGGCTCTGTAGTCGGACGGTTTAAAGAGTCGGACGAGAGTCGGATGATAAGACGGGTTTCACTTTCACCTCCAGTGCAGAGATTCAGTTCACTGTCCCGCTGCAGGAATGTGTGCGGCGTACGTGGAGGTTCATAGTTTAGATTTGAGTTTCAGCCCCATTGATAGCGCCACCACACCGCGACCAAAACACATTATTATGGAGATAATAAGTCATTATTTTAAGATACTAAGTCATTATTTTAAGATACTAAATCATTATTTTAAGATACTAAGTCATTATTTTGAGATACTAAGTCATTATTTTGAGATATTAAGTCATTATTTTAAGATATTAAGTCATTATTTTGAGATACTAAGTCATTATTTTGAGATATTAAGTCATTATTTTAAGATACTATGTCATTATTTTGAGATAAAAAGTCATTATTTTGAGATACTAAGTCATTATTTTGAGATACTAAGTCATTATTTTAAGATACTAAGTCATTATTTTGAGATATTAAGTCATTATTTTGAGATACTAAGTCATTATTTTAAGATACTAAGTCATTATTTTGAGATATTAAGTCATTATTTTGAGATATTAAGTCATTATTTTGAGATACTAAGTCATTATTTTGAGATAAAAAGTCATTATTTAGTTAGAGTTGAGCTTGTTTACGTCTATCTCAGTTAACACTTTCCTGTTCTGACGTCTGAGCTGAGCTCCAGTATGAACGCTGACCTTGGATTACAGCACAGAGGGGTTGCAACATGAAGCCCTGGCCTCCGGTAACCGTGTGACCGGCGGTATCTGGCGCTTACCGAGTCCTCCGGCGGCCGGTTGATCTTGGCCCAGTCGACCGAAGGACCTTTGACCTGCAGGAATCTGTGGAAGATCTTCTTAAAGCCATCGAAATCTTTTCTGGAGATCTGAAACAGAACAAACCAAACTTCAGCTGGAAACTGGAAATCCACATTTCACATCGGGATCATTTCAATAAATCACTCGTGTTGATCAGCAGAGACACAATAAACACATCTTTAAGGTCTGAGGTTCCTCTTTGTGATTCTTACTGAAGTAAAAGACCAAAACCAACAACAGGTTGCAGCTCACAGAGAAAACTGGTTCCTACTGAAGTCTCATTTAAAAAAAGGCTCAATAATTTCCTAAAACAGCTGCTCAGAGGAAATTTGTCGGGGACTATTTTCAGCGGCGGATTGATCCACAGTGGGTGCTCAGGCAGGAGGCAGATTTATTTCTAATAAGAAGTTAATTATTGTTGTTGAACCGGAGCTTCAGTGTTTGTTTGTGTCACAGTTTAACTCGTAACTATTTATTTTCTTTAGCAGGGACAATGTTTAATACATGTGTGGCACCAGATGAAGCTCATTTTCTTCTGTAGACTCGGGGCGGAGGTCAGCAGTACGCAGGTTACAAACATAAAAGAGGATGTTTGTGGGATTCAAACTACAGTGTGTGCTCACTGATGAAATAATTAATATTCTTAACTGAAATGAATCTGGTCTTTGAGGAGTTAAATGATCCGATCCACCTTAAATCCTGTCAGAAGAGTCCAAACGGCTCGATGATGCTACATCTTGAATCTTGGGACTTCTCGTTGAACAGCGTGTCCGTGGCGAAAACAGGAAGTTGTTGTAACTCCCAATCTGAACACATCTACGTGCCGATATTCAGTCAGAGCGTCGTTGTCTTCTGTTACTCTTTTGATGGTGTGGTTTACACAGGAAGTGATCTCTTGTGACCGTCCCAAATACGGTTGAGCGAAAGTATTTTACTTTAATTATCTGCTGCAGCTCAACTGTGTGTGTGTGTGTGTGTGTGTGTGTGTGTGTGTGTGTCCTCAGGGTTGTTCACCTCCTGTCTGTGTGCTGTGTGATAAGACGACCTAATGGACTCTCTGTATGCAACACTTTACAAATATTTGTTCTATAAATGTAACAGAAACGTTTTTAAGGCCTCGAACTGAATTTATTCCAGTTAAATGTGAATAAAAAAAATAACAAAAACACACAAAACTGTAAAAGACGGACGGTTATAAAGAATATAAAGTATTTATTCACATCTGGTTTAACTCTTGTTGTGAGCGATCCGAGTCTTTAGCCAGTTTTTATGCGTTTCACGGCCACCGTAGTTTCTCCTCCGTGCGTAGAAGTGGAGGGTGAAGCGAGTGAGTTGCAATCTGCAATGCTCAATCCCACTAAATCCTGAACACTGGACCTTTAAGTTGTAAGTTGCCCGATATATATATATATATATATATAGATATATATATATCGGGCGGCAGTAGCTCAGTCCAGAGGGACTTGGCTCGGTCCAGCACGGAGCACAGCATCAAGTGTGGACCGGTAGCTGGAGAGGTGTCTGTTCCACCTCCTGGGCACTGCCGAGGTGCCCCTGAGCAAGGCAGCAAACCCCTAACTGCTCCCAAGCCTTGTGTGTAAAGAAATGAGTGAAGAGAGATACTATATATAGTTTCTTGTAATCATCATAGCAGAGAGGAGCTAGCGGACAGCATCGGCCCCGTCCCTGATCCCGGTCCGGTCCTGGTTTTCCCTCCCAGTGATGATATGAAACCAGACAGCTGGTGAGCGAGCGGCTCAGACACACGTAGAGTTGTTTTAGTCGTACAACCGGGATTAACTGTGGTCGAGTGGTTGTTTCAGGAGTAAACTGAGACTTTTGTTTGTAGGGGTGGGGGAGATTTTCTCACCTCTGCCTCGGGCTTGTTGGCCGTATTGAGCAGCGCCTCCAGCTCGCGGTGCATCGACTCCTCGTGCTGCTGACGGAGCTTCTCCTGGAACTCTGTCATCACGCCTCTGGTCAGGTCTGCAGACACACAGACACAGAACAGACCTCCGAGATTAATCCTCATTACAGGAACAAACACAGACAAGAGTTTCCCAGAGTTTGTTCATCATGGTTGAAGTTACAGGATGAAAAAACAACCAGAAACAAACTGGATTTCTTTTATTTTCTGAGTCTAAAAATACTCGAGTTGACCTTGAACAACCTGGAACAAGTTTTTAAATGTCTGAAGTGAAGTCTGTAATATCTCAATCTGTAGGCTGCGATACAGAAATGTTGTTCTGCCGTGGTGTAATTTGGTAATTTGAAGGATTTTCTAAGTTCACAGTTTTCACAAACAGATAGATTAGATAGAACTTTCTGAGTTTAACAAGACAAAAGCAAATCCTTCATGTTAATATTGTTTATGTAAAAACATCAGATACAAACCCTGAAATGAGTCAGAACAAGCTGCATTATAAACTTACCAGCTACAGTTAGAGACATTTTTTACCACAATTTGCATAAAAAACAAACGATAAGATCTGTGGAAAGGAAGTGGCGGCGGGTGGCGGTGGCGTGCGGTGGCGGCGGCGTGCAGGTTCGGGTGTCGGCTCACAGTGAGTTCATGTGTTCGTTAAAAATGGTCCCGGTGAAAAAGTGAAGCAGCTGTGAGTGAACAACAGACCTCTTCCTCATCCTCAGCACAGAGGAAGCTCTCAGATCTGCAGCTCCAACCCTGAACTCAACACGGGGGCCGGCCCACAGACAGACACACACCAATCACACACACACACACACACACACACACACACACACACACACACACCAATCACACACACACACTTACTGATTGAGCAACTTATTGTCTCAGCACTAATCGTCATGTGTAAGGCACTCAGGAGCACACACACTCACAGACACACACACACACACACACAGACACACACACAAACACACACAGACACACACACAAACACACACACACACACACACACACACACATACAGACACATAGACAGTGTGTGTGTGTGTGTGTGTGTGTGTGTGTGTGTGTGTGTGTGTGTGTGTGTGTTTGTGTGGGTGTGGGTGTGTTTTTGTTGTGTGTGTGTGTGTGTGTGCTCCTGAGTGCCTTACACATGACGATTAGTGCTGAGACAATAAGTTGCTCAATCAGTTAGTTGATGTAACTGACTAAGAGAACTTACATTGCGAGAATAAAATCGTAACATTGCGAGAATAAAATCGTAACATTGCGAGAATAAAATCGTAACATTGCGAGAATAAAGTCGTAACATTGCGAGAATAAAGTCGTAACATTGCGAGAACAAAGTCGTAACATTACGAGAATAAAGTCGTAACATTGCAAGAATAAAGTCATAACATTACTAGAATAAAGTCGTAATATTACAAGAATAAAATTGTAACATTGCGAGAATAAAGTCGTAACATTACTAGAATAAAGTCGTAACATTACGAGAATAAAGTCGTAACATTGCGAGAATAAAGTCGTAACATTGCGAGAATAAAGTCGTAATATTACTAGAATAAAGTCATAACATTACTAGAATGAAGTTGTAACATTGCGAGAATAAAGTTGTAACATTGTGAGAATAAAGTCGTAATATTGTGAGAATAAAGTCGTAATATTACGAGAATAAAGTCATAACATTGTGAGAATAAAGTCGTAACATTACTAGAATAAAGTCGTAACATTACGAGAATAAAGTCGTAACATTGCGAGAATAAAGTCGTAATATTACTAGAATAAAGTCATAACATTACTAGAATAAAGTTGTAACATTGCGAGAATAAAGTCGTAATATTGTGAGAATAAAGTCGTAATATTACGAGAATAAAGTCATAACATTGCGAGAATAAAGTCGTAACATTACTAGAATAAAGTCGTAACATTACGAGAATAAAGTTGTAACATTGCGAGAATAAAGTCGTAACATTACGAGAATAAAGTCGTAACATTGCGAGAATAAAGTTGTAATATTACTAGAATAAAGTTGTAACATTGCGAGAATAAAGTCGTAATATTACGAGAATAAAGTCGTAACATTGCGAGAATAAAGTCGTAATATTACGAGAATAAAGTAAACTGTTTAAGGACGAAATGATCAATGCGTTAGTTTACCTGTTGACTGTACGGTACGACTGAGACAAACAGCGGCTGCTTGGCTCAGGCTGAGGCTGCTGATTGGTTGAGCTGCTCACGTCAGATCTTGAAAACTCTACCGAAGCTTCTTTCTCATTAAAACAACTTTATTCTGGTAATATTACGCCCAAAAAAGTCTGGCTCTTAGTCTGGCCCTAATACTCTGTCGTACTGTGAAGAAAACTAAATGAAATAGTTATTTTTAGAAGTTTAGATTATTATTTAAGATGAACAATCTCAGTCTGCGTTAAAAAAACAACCGACGAGCTGAAAGAACAACGAGGAGAAAACACAGAATCTGACAAAAAAGAAGAATATTAAGTCTGTTTGATTGTTAAAAATAAAGAAAATACACAACACGGACAAATAATTATATAAAAAGTTCCTTAAAATATCAGGAGAACTCATCTCTGATCAATATTCAGGCAATAATCTCTTCCTGCAGTTTACAGTTGATCAGCTGTTTGTTGTTATTATTGATTGTAATCACTGTTTACTCACTAATAGAATTAAGATTATTACACTTTATTGTAGTCGAACGTTGAACAAACAATTAGAGTTTGAGACTTTATGATTTTACATTGTTTGTCTCCATGGTTTTATTTTTATTGATGTTTTTTTTTTTTTTTTTTTACATTTTATTGTATTTCAGCCTTTCAACAGTTTATTGATTGTTGTTTCTAATGTGAAACACTTTGAGCTGAGTGTTTGTATGAAAGGTAAATAATAAATTAATAAAGGTGAGTAATTACTGTCGGCAGGAGTTTAAAGAGTTCAGAAGGGACAAACTTGCATTAGTTTCAGTTGGAACATAAAAGGTAAAGCAGAAGATTATAACATTAAATGATCAGTTATTGTCAGTTTATATTTATTTATTGATCATTTATTGATCTTCAGTGGGTGACAGACAGACAGAGCAGTAATGTGCATCGACTCTGCAGCAGTTTATTAACTGTGAATTCAATTATAGAAGATTTAATGTTTGAGATATATTCAATATTTATGTAGAGTTCAGAGATTGGGGGATTATATTTAGAGTTTTATTGGCAGTTAAAGGTTATTAATTAACAGATATGGCGGCTAAAAGAGCTTTAAACATGAGGAATATGATGGACATTAAATTTAGGAAGCACTAATCAAACCGTTGGGAGACAGAAAGGTTATATTTAATCCCACTGATTTAAATCAGACTGGATTTATATATATATATAGTGTTTATGACCCACAGTGTTTATGGAGATCTGAGGAACCTTCACAGGTCGTATCTGACTGTTGTTTTACTTCCATAAAGAACCACATTGTTTATTACAGTCTTACATATTTTCAACCATTTTTTAAAAGATAATCTTAAAGGGACATTGTTTCAGTCACGTGACGCTGGCTCTGAGCGAGAACGCGTTGTGGATCGGTGAGACAGGTAGGCTAGTGCTTTATGTCCCTCTCGGCGATTATAGATTTTCCAACTGGCGGAACGACATGTAAGCCTCCATGGACTGGCCCGTCCAATGTATATACAGATAAAAAATTCTTCACTTACGAGGATAAGTCAGATCATTGGCAGAGGTAATTTTACACCAATATGAACAAAGACATTGATTTTAGCTAATAAAATACTTAAAACTCTACACAATGTCCCTTTAAAGATTTGGTGGTTTGGTGTTATTTTAAAGGACGGTTCATTATGGGATGTTTTTTAGTTACTTTGTTTTTTGTTTACATCAATATTGTTGGAAAATGTTATTCACAGAACAACTGCACACCCGTATATTCATCAGTAAAAAGATCGTTATGAGATATTAATAATAATTATAACAAACACAGGATTGTTGAGTAGAATAACATACGTTTTTATTTATTTATTTTATAGACTTTAACAGTTAAAGTCTAGTAAACTCGTTCAGTTAAATCTACCAAACACACAAAGAAGAACAATAAGATCCACAGCCTATTTATATTTATCTGAAAATCCTTTTTTTCCAGGTTTTCCAGGTTTTCCAGGTAATTCCAGGTTTTCCAGGACTGATGGGAACTCTGAATACATAAAGTAATAAGATTACTTTTAAAACAGTAGTGAGTAATAGATTACAGTTTCTGAGTATCTATCCAAACACTGATTTTAATATTGTTTATTCTAAAGTTGATTTGTTTGTGTATTTGTGTCTTTGTGTAGTGATTTACTTTAGTAACTAATTACTATCAGTAATAATATTACAGTTACCCCCCTCACAAATAATTAGTTACATTACTGTCACATCCTTGGATTTATTTATGTAATTAGAAACTAGTTTGGAAGATGAAAATAATCAGATTACTTTTATTTTAACAAACAAAACTGGATTTTAATCGTCGTTAAGTTTGAATTTTGGGAAGAAACGACACAATTACTAATTCTGTAACATAGTGTAACTAATTACTGTTGGCAGGGAGTAATAAGTAAAGTAGTAATAATACTTTTTAATAGAGTAATGAGTAATAAATTACATTTTGTTGAGTAACTAGCTCTGGTTTTAATAATATGGAAGCTAAAAAAAAAAGATCCTGTAAATCAAAATAATGAGAAACTTTATCAGAATAAAAACTTTACGATACTAAATCAATATATTAAGAAAGTTTCTCACTTTAAAGACTCACAGGATCTTTTTTATTTCCAGTCACACTGACAGAAATTAATTAATTATACAGTTTATATTAAAGTTGATTTGTTTATTTATTGCTCACACACACACACACATACATATATATATTTATTAATTATTTTTTGCCTTTTAATATATACACACACACACACACACACAAGCGCGTTTACAGTTTTATCTATTTTATTTTAATATATTTTTTTAAGACACACACTTACTATTTTATTTATTTATTTTAATTTTAATATATATATTTTTTTAAGACACGCACATGCTTACTATTTTATTTATTTATTTTATTTTAATATATTATTTAATACATACATTATATATATAATGTATATAAAGTGAGTTTAATAGAAGTTATATAGGGGCAGAAGCACTCATGTTTTAATGAAGCTGCAGACAAACAGTTGACAAACAGCCACAGTCTGTCAGAGGAACCGTTACCCACCTGTACCGGTACCGGTACCGGGAGAGAAACACAGCCAACCGGGGACAACCGGGGACAACCGGGGACAACCTCACACCGACAGACTACCGCTAACAGCCGGTGGACCCCGTTTTAAAACCGGACCAGTGAAGTTAACGGGTTTAAAATGGCGCTAGTGTCCTCCTCCTCCTCCTGATGCTTCCGTTAACCGACAGAGAGGCTGCCTGCGGCGCGAAACCACAGCCCACAGCCGGTGACGTAGCGTGAAGAGAAGACCGGTGATTGGTTGAAGTTTCCCGTCAATCACAGGAGGAGTTGACAGCATGTCCCGCCCACCCAGCATGGTCTATTTTTAGTTCAATAACACTTATTTTATTTAATTATATCTCTTTTAAATAAAGTTTCATTTCAGTTTTATTCTAATAATAATAATAATAATAATAATAAACTCTTAATATTTAATTATATCTCATTTAAATAAAGTTTCATTTCAATTTTATTCTAATAATAATAATAATAAACTCTTAATATTTAATTATATCTCATTTAAATAAAGTTTTATTTCAGTTTTATTCTACTTTTCTAATAATAATAATAATAATAAACTAAAAAATAATTATATTTAATTTAAATAAAGTTTTATTTATTTAGCTTTAAATAGTTGTTTTAATGATATTTTTGTCACATTCTGTGTGCTGGTTTAATTCAGTTAATATGTTTGTTTTCGTTTCAACTGTATCCAGTTTTAAGATGAGATAAACTTTTATTAACTCAGGTTTTACAGCAGCAACAGCAAAAGAAGAATAAAACACAGGATGTTTACAGGCAAGAACACAGAAACAAACCAGCATAGTAAGAATAAATACTAATATAAATATAAATACAAATAAATTAAGACAAGCAAAACCTCAATTTCTCTTTATTCTATTACAAAATCTGCCCTTTGATATTTTAGAGTTTAGTAATAATAATAATAACCTGTAATTTTTATCTTTGCACATAAGAGAAAATCATTGAGTATAAAATGGACTAAAGAGATAATAAATAAATAAATGAATAAATAACTGAATAATTGAATGAGGATCAGTTACAAACCTTCTCAGGTATCCATTCATACTCAGTGTGGATCGATGCTGCCTCCATGTGGTTAAAATGAGTCACTGCAAAACACTGCAGGTGTTCAAATGTTTCAGTATTTGCACAGGATTCAATTTCTAATGTGATTGTCTTTTTTAAAATGTTCAAATAAAATAAAATTCTCATTGTATTTTTCAGAAACAATGGTTAAAAGCATCACTTTGTACCAAATATGTGCCACAAACTCCCAGAAAACTTAAAGTCTGCTTCAGTTTTACTTAAAACATTTGTTTACAGCTGCTTTTATTAAGTTAAATCTCTAACTGGACTCTAATTATTTATTGTTTTATACGATTTTAACCTGTTGAAAGCAGCAGAAACCAATAAAACCACCAAAATACATACAGTCACACACACTCTTGTGCAGTTTCATCATCCAATATAATGAACTAACATTATAGTTTGGCATCATCTCACCCAGAAGAGTCTTTATGTGAGTAAATGTGAAAATAATGTATAATAAAAGACATTATCAGCTATGTTAAGCTCTAAAATGTGCGTAAGAAACCCAAAATCCTCCTGTTACAGAGGAAAAGTTCATCATTCTCACTGGAAAGTCATTTTTTATAACTGCAGCTGCTTTACATATAAAATATAAAAGAGAAACAGGAATAAAATAGAAGATTATTCTCATTACTTATATTACAACGCCATGGCAACGGCTGCACCAGCTTCTGTTTAAATCTGTTTCTAACTTTATTTGTATTTTAACGAACTCCTCCTCGGGGATTGATCGGATCGACTGTCAACCGAACTTCTCACGTTTGATAAAAGTCTCGACCTGAACACATTAACATGCCAATATTAGGTAAGTTAATAAGTAAGCCTTGTTTAATTAATCTTTAATTAAAGTTGTACAACCTTCTGAGTATAACCATAAATACATTTTCCTTCATCTTCAACCAAGTGACAGAAGATGCTCGTGGACATATTCGATCCAATATGGACCCGTTTGATGAACTGAATACATAAAATGTTGACTGTGTGTTTATGTTCGGTTTGTGTCTCGGTGGCGAGCGTTGGATAAAGAGAAAGAGGCATTGAAGAGGCCGATTGTGGGTCAGTTTCTTTGTTGTTTTATTGGTGATAACTTGTTCCGTTACAGTTTATGGACAGCTAGCGCGTGTTATCATCTACCAACAGAGACATTCTCTCGGTGTCTTGCAGACGGAGGCCAGGTTGTGGTCATTGAACAGGTTTTTAATTAAAAAAACCTGAAGAAGTGGCCTAATCACACACACACACACACACACACACACACACACACACACACACACACACACACACACACACACACACACACACACACACACACACACACACACACACACACACACACACACACACACACACACACACACACACACACACACACAGAGAGAGGTGACACACAGACGGCAGCTGGGACGGTTTCAGAAGTGTGGAGCGTTGTTTTCTTCTTCAGAGTCGCGAGCAGCGAGTCTTCTGGGGATCTAAGTGCTGCTGTTGGCCGTCAGGGCGCGACAGTCACTGGGACAGGAAGTCCAGAGCGGTGTCTCGCTCCTCCACCAGCTCGGCCGCCGTGGCGTCCATCTTGGCGCGGGAGAAGTCGTTGATGGGGAGTCCGTCGACCATTTTCCAGGTCTTGTTCTGGTGGGAGACGACGGAGGGAGAGATTAAAGGTTGAGCTTCTGATTTTGGTAGAATTTGGTCAATTTCTGTGTCTCTAGCTTTCTTTTTATTATTATTATTATTATTATTATTATTATTATAATAAATAATAATAATAACAATAATAATAATAAATTCCTGAGCGAGAATCCCCCCCGAAAAACATCTCATCAATTACGGTAAAAGGACATTAGTACTGTTGATTTTAAGTTGGAGTTTTAGACCACATTTTACTGTATAAACAGTTTCTACCATTAGATATGAACTACTTTGTTCCATGTAATTCCTTTAAAATGCCGTATGAATCAGAGTTTTGCTGTTACACAAACTGCTTTTAACCTATTTACAGTTTACAGTCAGTCTCCATAAAATCTACAAACATTTACAGTCTTATGTCTCGAGAACCGATCGACTAAAATACAATAAAATTCCAGGTCAACAACAACCAGGATGTTTGGTCATTTTAATCAGTTTCCATGACTGTAAATCTCTAAACCCCTCAGCGTTCCCAGGATGAGTGTATTCAACAGGACAAACTATTTAAAGCTGCCATTTGGTTTTGTACAGGTGTTTTTCAGGTGAAGTGCAGGTGGAGGTTAGTTTCCCCTCAGGGAGGAAGTCCTCGAGGCAAGAAAACAGGTTGACCAACACAGTGTGGAAATTTATCAGACAAAGCCTGCGACCGACAGACAGACAGACAGACAGACAGACAGACAGACAGACAGACAGACAGACAGACAGACACACAGACAGACACACACACACACAGACACCTTGATCTCGACGGGGAAGGAGTAGATGAGGTCCTCTGGGATGCCGTAGGAGTTTCCAGTAGCATACACGCCCATGGAGATGAACTCACCCTGTCGGCAGGAAACACAGCAGCTTTCAGTCAACAACAACAACAACAACAACAACGCATCCAAGATTTGTTTCCACTTTTTACAACAGGAAGAGAGACTTTCTGTCCTGAAATTCAGCCTTGATTCTGTGGATTCTTTGACTCGTGGTCTAAATCCTGTTTCACAAGTTTTCTTTCACCCCAACAATCAAACAATAAAAACATAAATGTTGTTTGTTTGTTTGTTCTTGTATCTTCAAAACTAAATATTGGACTCTTGGCATGTTGTACGCCCAAACAAAGCTCCAAAAACAAAGTTAAAACTAAAAAAGACACCTGACCTGTTGGCCTCCATTACAGGATAGATAGAATAAAATAATACAAAAGTTGAAATTCAGACTTTTTGAAGCTTCTTCAGGAGAATTTTATCAGTTTAAGTGAATTAAAGTCCTTAAACTTTCTCCTAAAGTTAAAATGCTCCAGCTCTTCCCTCCTCACACACTGACCTCCTTGGTGCCGAACCAGATGTCCCTCATGTGGTCGCAGATGGCCTTGGCGGCGGACATGGCGCTGGACAGCTTCCTGGCCTTGATGACGGCGGCGCCGCGCAGCTGCACCGTCTGCGGGAGGAAGGCGAGGAGGAGTCGGTTTGAGAAAGTGGGAACAGAAAACGTCTCTGCCGTCTAATTAAAGCTAATTTAAAGTGATAATTGAATTTAGCGAGCGCTCACAGAGATGAAGTCTCCCCTCAGCCAGGTCTCGTCCTTCACGGCGTCGTAGGCGGGCGTCTCGGTGCCGTGGACGTTGACCTTGGCGTGGTGGACGTCGGGGTACTGGGTGGAGGAGTGGTTCCCCCAGATGATGACGTTCTTCACTTTGTCGGAGGAGACGCCGCAACGCATCGCCACCTGCAGGCGAGGACGGACACAGCAGCGGTGTTATTAAAGGAATGAAAGCGTCGGTAGATAGAGGAGAACATCTGGTGGCAGCTGGATTTCAAACATACGACCTTAAATTCAACTCATACTACCTTTAATCAGTCACTGTAAAGTATTATAGTGTCTGCAGGGACGACCCGTATCACAACAAATATCGGTTTTATTAATTAAACAGAAACAATCCACACAGAAACACAATTTTAACCCAACTTTAGACATTTTTAGTCCCAATAAATGTGGAAAATCAAAGAGTTCTGATCAGGTTTCTGATAATTACCTGATACAGACTTTATATCTGATCAGTTCTGGTACATGTGAGTCTGAGTTTGTCTAAATTTTCACTTCAAAGGCTGTTGGAGGGTCACATGTTTGCTTTAGGGGTTAAGGTTAGGACATGGTGTGTGTGTGTGTGTGTGTGTGTGTGTGTGTGTGTGTGTGTGTGTGTGTGTGTGTGTGTGTGTGTGTGTGTGTGTGTACCTGGGAGCTGGCTCTGTTGTGGTCCAGTCGGGTCAGGCAGGAGAAGTTCTCTTTGGGGATGGAAGGAGCAGACTTGGAGGCGATCAGACAGTTGGTGTTCGCTGGGTTTCCAACCACCAGAACCTGAAAATCAAAAACACGTCTCCGTCAGCGACAAAGTCGGAGAAACGTCTAACAACTGACAACCAGTGAGCGTCTGAGATATCGGCAGTAAAGTTTAGGTGTAGATCATTGGAGGCCAACAGTTTGGGTCGAGGGCTGTAGCTACTGTTAGCTTTAGATATGAGGTTGAGCAGAGGTCAGTTAGTTTTTTACACAACGTCTGTCTCTGTTTTTGCTCTAAAAAAGGTACTGACAAGGAAACTGGAAGAGGAAGAGATCCCAACGAAAATATGAAGTTTAAAAAGGTTCAGAAAAGCTCGAAACTTTTTTAGTAAAATAACGTTTAATTTCCATCATGTTTCATCCATTTTATTATTAATATAGTTTTAATCATAATTATTTTATTCTACCTCACTTCAATATGATTTTAATCGTCTGGTTTTATTTCCCATCCTTTTGTTTTGTGCTTTATTAATAAAGTTATATTATTAAAATGCACATAAAAGATGTTTCACTGCAGGAATCTGACGGTTATCATCAGGTGAAAATAATCTCTCAGTGCCACAGATTAACTACAGAGTACCACAGATTAACCACGAGTACCAAGATTAACCACAGAGTACCACAGATTAACCACAGAGTACCACAGAGTACCCAGATTAACCACAGAGTACCACGATTAACCAGAGTACCACAGATTAACTACAGGTACCACAGATTAACCACAGAGTACCACAGATTAACCACAGAGTACCACAGAGTACCACAGATTAACCACAGAGTACCACAGAGTACCACAGCGAGGGAAGATGACAGTAACAGAAAGTGAAGCTGTTATTACAACCCGATGAGATTCGTTTTATATCCGAGCTGAACCACAATAACAGAGTTTATCTGCAGTCAGAACATCCTCGCTGCTGCAAACTTACTAATAAATACACTAAATAATAATAATAATAATTAGTAATTCAATAATTTCACTGAATTTCCTTACAGAATAAAGACAGCAGTTAAAAAGGTTCAACGTCACTTTCTACCCCCCCCCCACTGAGGCGTCACCTTCACGGTCTTCTTGGCGTACTTGTCCAGGGCGGCTCCCTGGGTCTTGAAGATGGCCACGTTAGCCTTCAGCAGGTCCTTCCTCTCCATGCCCTCCTTCCTCGGCATGGAGCCCACCAAGATAGCGGCGTCGATGTCCTTGAAGCCAACCTCCACCTTGTCGGTGGGGATCACCTCTGTGGGGGGGGGAGGAGGGGGGGAGGCGTTCAGCGAGGAGTCACATTACTTTATATGTTGCTATGCAGTCGGTGGCGATCGTGTAAAAACATTCACACACAGAATACAGAAAACAACTGTAACGTCAGAACCACAAAATAATTTAATTTATTCACTAAATCTGAGATTATTTGTTTCTTTATTTCACAAAAATGTTTAATTAAACCAGAATATCTTTAAGATTATTATTATTATTATTAACAGATTATTGAAGCTCGATATGTTTTAGTAGGAACTGAAACTTGTAAAGATATTTACTGACTGTAAATGAAATAAAAGGTTTTTATTTCTCAGAATAATATAAAGTAACAAACTGAACTGAGATTCAGAGAATATTTTATAAAACTGATTATTTATTGATCTTTATGAACAACCAGTAGAGCTGATATGTTATCTGTCAGCTAACAGTCTGCCCCTCTACAGAACCTATTGATTAGGTGATGTATTGGTACTGATAAGGCTCCTCTGCGCCCTTCGACCTCCTCTGTCGTCTTCCTGTCGTTCTTTCACATCCTCTTTATTTTAAAAGCTGTTCATTAGCTCAGTTCCTCCCTGATACGATCCTGCTGCCTCAGGCCGATGCTACCGATAACTTCTGCTGTCTGTTTATTGGGGGGGGGGGGCTGCTATCAGACTGGACTTCGGTTCAGGGTTCATTGTTGTCCCACCACTGCTCTGATTGGCTGCTGTGGAGGCTCAACCGCCGGCCAATCAGAGGCCTTCTTTTAGACCCTCCTTCCTCCTCCTCCCCTCAGCAGCAGACAGACAGAGGAGGTTATGAAGGACAAATAAGACACACACACACACACACACACACACACACACACACACACACACACTCTGCAGGAAGTTTGTGTAAAACGAGTGATTTGGATGAATTTTGAGCAGATTATTTCCTTGTTTTCTTCCCATTTTAGTCACTTTTTATACAATTCTCTGTCTTTATTGTGTATTTTGTTATTATTTTAATCATTTCCAGTGAGCCAACCTGACTCCTTAACACCTGTATTTACCCGACTGTTTCATGTTAAAACAGCTGCTGTGAAAAAGGTCAACCGACGGCAGTTTTTCCTCTGAACAGTAGCATCAGTTTGACCACAGCAGAGGATAATCTTCCAGGATATTTGGTCATTTTAATCAATTTCAACGAGTTTTCATGCCTTGGAAACTAGTTTCTACATTTCCAGGTTTTCCAGGCCCCGTGGGAACCTTGATTTTAGATTTAAAAAACAGGCAAGGCTGGTTGAGACACACAGTAAGACCGTCGGCTCACCCCTCAGCAGCGGCAGGGCGCAGTCCTGCAGCTCCATGACGACTCCGTCCAGAACCGGCAGCATGGGGGGGATGTCCAACAGGACCAAGATGATCGGCTGAAACACAAAACACGGATTATTTTATTAAACAGTTAAACCTTCAATGAAAGTCTCATCTGGATACATTCAGGGACACTAAATGTTTTATATTGTAACGTGGCCACACAATCACGTTTTTTTTTAATTAAAATGAACAAATGCCAGATTTTATTTTCATTTCTTATTAGGTTAAAACTTTATAAAACTTTCTAAAAAACAAAAAAGAGGTTTCTAGCTGACATTACGGATCCTGTGGAAGGTTTCTCACACTTTTATTATACAGTCCTACAACTGTTTTCATTCATTACGTTACGTCGTTACGGCACATTAAATAAATAAAAATGTGTCTCTAGGTGTCTGATTTATGTTATAATCTTTACTGTACCAACATTGTTTCTTTAATTTTAGCACAGATTGAATGGAATAATATAATTAATGGTGGAAAAACTGCTCAGTAAAGAGGACGAATCACCAAACCCCATTCAAAAAACTGCAATGTAGCTTCATCGTCCATACTGGCAATAACAGAAACAGCAGGTACCTGATGACACTCTCTAATCCGGCATTCAGGATTACAATCCAGCTGTTAACCTACAAACACCTTGTCTTCTGTTTGAGGCTTTATTAGGACACCTTCCTTCATCATCAGCTGACGGCATCCTCTCACTAAACCACGTATTATTCACGGTGAATTCATTATGTAACAGCGAGCGGCGGTCTGTGCAGTGATCGGCTTCAGGGTGAGGAAGGGGGGGAGGGGGGGGCTGCAGGTTATGCAATCAGAGTTCAGGTCTTACCTGGTCCTTCCCGAACACATCTCCCTTGGCGATGCTGTACAGCAGGGAGTAGGCGATCTGGCCAGCAGCGCCGGTCACCACAACACGGATTGGTTCAGCCTGGAGGGAAACAAACAGGTTTGGTTCATATGTGTGTGTCTGACCTAGATAACGGAGGGAGGAGGAAACGGAGCGGCAGTAACCGGCATTGTTGGTGTGAACTGGCTGGATCACTTCGATGTTATAAAGCCTACATTTAACGGATGAATCCTCAAAGTGAGGCTGCTGGTTCACGAGGCCTCTATCAGTGGCTCCTCCTCCTCCTGTGGCCCTTTGAATGAAGAGGACTTGTAACCAAACTCCATAAAGAAAAGGGTGAAATGTAGAATGACCTTGCGTACTGGAAAGGGTAGATAGGACATTCAGTTTAATTTTAGATCTTAGTTTTAGTGGTGGATGTCACTCTTTAATTCGGCATGTGTGCCACCAATCAGACTGCAGATAAACTTTTCAAAAAACTCTGCTTTTATTATTTATCACAGACTTGTAACCAAACTCCATAAAGAAAATCGTTAAATGTAAAATGACCTTGCGTATTGGAAAGGGTAGGTAGGACATTCAGGTTACTTCTAGAGATCATCTTTAGTAGTTGCTGTCACTCTTTAATTCGGCAGATGTGCCACCAGTCAGACTGCAGACAGACACTCAGATTTTATGACTGATCACACAACTGTGCCGCTCTTCGCTGTGCGGATTAATGAATGAAAAAGGGGCAAAAACAGTCCGATAACAGAAGCAGAGTTCTTTATATTACCGCCGAATTAACCAACGTTTTCAGCACACTCATAAACAAACTCGCATTACATGACAACTGCATGCATCTCGTCTGAGGAGCAATGACTCGTTAAATTATCCGATTTGTGAGCGGAGATTTGCACAGATGCTGTGGTGACAGGATAAAAGAATAGGCCTTGGATGCAACCACGCCACAGCCTGCTCATTGACTAACATGGAGTCCAGATGCATGAATGCACAGCCGACAAACAAACAGCTGAAACAAGCTGCTGATGATCATTTAACCATTAAAGCATTAAAGTCTGCAGTTAAATCAAAACGCTGCTTTCTTTCTCAATGTCAACTGCATCATTTTAGCTCACATTTAAACGCTTTAAGGATAAAAACGCGTTAATAAAGGTCGTTTATAACATTAATATCACCCCACCGAGCAGTGGGGGGTCGGTCTTACCATTTTCTGGTACCGGGAGGAGATGCTCTGGGTGTACGGTGGCTCGCTGCTCTCAGGCGGACTGGACGGGAGGGTCACCTCTATCCTGCTATTGTAAAGTCAGGCGGTGACACGACTCTTCCCGCGCTCGCTACGGGACTTGTAGTCGTTTTTATGACAGGAACTGAGGCGTTTCAAGCGGGCCGAGTCGACACAGGGAACACACTCTCCCACGATGCACCGCTCTCTGCTGTCGTCGCGCCATATACGGAAGAGGATTTTATGAAAAAGGTCCTTTTTCTGAAGGGCTCAGAGGGCGCGTTTGGCGACACCTGGTGGCCGAGAGGCGGTACTGCAGCAGAGCGGCGCTTCAATATGCATATTTCTTATTATTCTTAATGCACAACAATAACAGCAGATAATATAAAATAAAGTGTACAATGAGCACAAATAGTGAACACAATAAAAGGGTTCTCACTCTTTTCCAGGACCTTTTCCAGGACCTTTTCCAGGACCTTTTCCAGGAGTTTTGCTCACAAACAGTCGTATAATTTACCAGTTGGCCCAGTATTGGCTTTAACTCCAGTTTAATCCAGTGTGTGTCTTACTTATAAAGGCGATCTGAGTGAGGAGATAAAAGATAATAATCATTTTTCAGGACAACATCGATTATTTCTAGGTAATTTGCTCATTTTAATCAGTTTCCAGGTGTGACCGGAAAACTAGTGTATAAATTTCCATGTTTTCCAGAACTAACTATATCTGCAGGAAGTTTGAGTGAAGCAAGAGATTTAAATGCATTTTATGCAGATTATTTTCTGTGAATGTTGATCCGAGATGAGTTTTCCTGATCTTTTAAGGAACTTTTTTACAAATTCTCTGTCTGTATTATATATTTAAATGTGTTTATATTTGTCTTTTTGTGTTTTCTTCTCATTCTTCTATCAGTTCTTTGGCTGTTTATCAGAGAGTGAAGCTCTGAGTTCGTAAATAATAACCTAAACTTTAAAAACAACTACTTCTGTTAAGTTTTCTACACAGAAATTAATGAAATAAATTAGATATAGACCTTAAAACCCCTTAAACTCAAGAAGAATTTGCGACCCTCTATGAGCCAGATCACCTTAAGAGCCCCTGTTAAGCGGCACTACGAGCGCCGCCGTGTACGATGCAGGACGTTAAGCAGCTTCACTGAATGATCCTTTAAGTGACTTAAAGGTCCCATGAAAGAGAAAGTGCTTTTTCTGAGTGTTAATTTAATGTTCTGTTGGTATATAAAGCCGACCGGGTCCTGTTTTAAATCTCTGCTTAAAGGTCCAGTGTGTGACGTTGAGGAGGATCCATTATAATATAATAAAAAATACTCTTATTGTTGTACTTCCTGTGAGCTTTTGTCTTATTTTGACATACTTCTGATAAAATACAGGATGTGTCACAGAAAAAAGGATTTTATGTTGATATTTAATCTCCTGACTGAAACAGGAAGTAAATGTTTGTATTGTAACTGTTAATGTTGGGTTATAAATCAGTGGTTCCCAACCTGAGGGTCGCGACCCCCACTAGGGGTCGACAAAGCTTCACTGGGGGCTGCGAGGCCTTCTTGAGTTTAAGGTGTGCTAGAAAACTTAAAACAACATTTTGTTCATTGTTAATTGTAAATAGGGACAATAAAACTGCTGATTAAGTCTTTTTGATTGTTAAAAATAATTTAAAAATACAGAATACAGACAGAGAATTGGATAAAAAGGAAATAATCTGCTCAAAATTCAACCAAATCTCTCGTTTTACACAAACTTCCTGCAGTTTCTTGTTCCCTGGTTGTCAAATACACTTAAAATATCTGAATTTACATTTATCCTCCTTTTAAATTACAAAGATTACATCTGTTACACTGTGAAAAACATCATTAAGTTACGATAAATACACTGAAATATTAATAAAATTACAACAATATCCTGTGAATTTACATGTCTGGTGTAAAATAATGTGAAAAATCTGTAAATAATAATAAAATTACTGCTTATTAAAAGAAATAAAGACGGTTAAAATACATTTGCAGATATTTACTGTTTATTTAATAGATTAGACTAAAATTAAATTCACGTTTAATACTGTTAATAATTGTTTTTTAATTATGTAAAATTAGTGACATTAACAGTATAAACAGTATTTATATGTAATTGTACAAGGATTTGTTTATTAACTGACAGATATCTTGTATAATTATGGAAGTTGAATAAATGTTGTTTATCAGTGTATAAGTGTTAGTAAACTGTCCAATATCAGTGAGAACAGCAATAATTACTATAATTTCACAGATAATAACTTTTATTACAGGTAAAAATCAAACAATAAAAGCACTCTGCAGTGAATATAAGCCTGATTATTTGTCTTATAGCAGAGTTCACCTGTATTTATAGATCATTTAGTTGGTTTTACAGTGTGAATATCTTTAATTAAACATTAAAAAGACAAAAAAACAACAAGATTTTATGTCAAATTAAAGCTAAAAACTGTATTTTAATTATAGAAAATTACTGTATTTTCCCAATTTAGTTATTTTCTGTTATACAGTGCATTACAATACACAATGGAAGCAACTGGAACGTCATTGGGAGTGAAAACTGTCTGTCTGTGGATTATTCTGGGTCAAAGGTGAAAGGTCAAGTTCACTCCTCCAGACTACAGGAAGTCGTCGGGTTCATTCGCCAGCTGGTTAAGTTGTTGTTGAGCCTCAGAGCTGAGCCGTCTGATCTGCTGGCATTTATAGAGCGGAACAGTCGGGAGGTCAAAGGCAAAATACCACGTTTTATTTGTCTTATTTGTTGAAATTTGACTAAAAACTGCTGTTTTTATCGTCTACGTCGGTGAATTAAGGATTTATTTCCACCAAACCAGAGTTGGTGATTGTTGGAAACACTAACAGAGACGCTTTTAATGAGTTTGATTCTGTTTCTGTCCACTTTGAATGAAGTTTACGATACTATGAGGTTAAATTGGCGTTTTTGTCTCTGGAGTCTGGTGGAGAGTGATAGTGATATTTTGTATGTTTCTGGTCAAACAAAATAACAGTTTCACATCTAACTCTGAATTAAAAGTTTATTTTGACCAAATCAGTGTTGCTGATTGTTGGAAAGACTTACAAAGGCAGTTTTGGTGAGTTTTATTTTCTTTCTGTCCAGTTTAAGTGCGTTTTTTTTTACGATGATCTGAAGGTAAAATGAGTGTTTCTGTCTCTGGAGTCTGGTGGAGAGTGACAGCGATAGGTCTATCTCTGTAGGGATCCTTTCGTTTGTCAACCAGCTGCAACCTGACAGGAGAGAGGTGAGGATGTTCTTTCAGAGAGAGAGAGAGAGAGAGAGAGAGAGAGAGAGAGAGAGGGTTCAGTTATCCTTCAGCCTATCAAGGACACCAGCAGCCATGTTGGATCTGCGAGGTTCAGTTTCATTAGAAGAGGCTGCAGTTCGGGGCAGGAGCTGGCCTCGGTGCTGATAGTCTGCAGCATCAAGAGAGCGGCAACCACCAGAGAGCAGAGCAGGAAGCCCCCTTTTACTCAGCCTTCAAAGTAAAAGCATGAATGTTGTTGCTTTATTATTATATGGAGAGTTTTATTATTAGATTTTAAAAGGATGTTTAATTTTTTTTATTTATTTACATCAGTGCATTGTTCGCTTAACATATTGAAGTTTCCCATCTTTTATATATTTTACTTTTTTTGGAACAGCAATTTCTTTCAGGATAAATAAAGTTTTATTTATATTATATTTTTATTATATATTTTATTTTATCTAAATAAAATAATTTTGTATATTATTTTTGTGTATTAAATAATTAAATAACAATGACTTTTTCCACCCCTACCACTAAAACATTAGAGTACAGCTTTAAAATAATATATAATATATATAATATATGAGACATTTAAAGACCAACCACAATAAATGTTAAAGCCTCATCACACTGAATATAGTATTTAGGTGTAAAATGGGTTAAATTAGTTTTAAATAAAGTTTTGAAATAACTATATGAAGCAAACATTCAGACTTTTTCTCTCATAATTTTGACTGTAAAAGTTATTTTACTCCCAATGAGTACTTTTATAACATTTTAATATTCTTTCTGTACTATAAAGAGTTTCTACTAAAAACTTGTTTCTTGTTGGCAATTTGTAATAAAATCTTTCAGACACAAACATCAGCGGACAGCAGTCAGACTCTTCAGTGACATAATGCAACATCTGTAACATCAGCCAACACTTTATGTTATACCTGAACTGTGCAAATACACATTTATATATATATATTAGACCTGTTATGCACATTTATAGCCTTTACTACCTTTAAATTACACTGCTGTATATATATTAATGTTTTGTCCTGTGCAATCACAAGCTGTAGATAGTGTACATACAACTCTTCTATTTTTATTATAGTGTGTATTTCTTCTATTCTATTTTTATTTGATGTGTATTTAATTCTAATCTATTATGTTGTGTTGAATCTGAAAATACTGCAGCAAGTGAATTTCCCTCATTTTCAGTATTACTTGTGTTTAATCTCAAACTGGCTGCTGTGAAAAAGGTCTATTGACTAGATGCATATGTGGTTAATTACAGAATCATACCTGGTTTTGAATATAAAGTTTGGTGTTTTTATGCAAAACAAAGATATTGAAATTGCCTTAAAACTCTCTAAACTACGTGTTATATCTTAATTAAACCCTCTTTAAGTTAATAAAGCTAACTTATATTTTAGATATTTTACTTTCGTCTCTGTCCTCTCTGCTTGTTGTTGTTTATTACTTGAAGAAGCTGCGTAAAGTTACAGCAAAACAAATACTCGAAAACGTGATAATAGTTTAGTGCTTTTATTTTGAAGGCTCTGACCGGATGTGGTGTTGTTTCCTGTCTGGCTTCACTTTGGCGCCAACGCTGCCGAGTGAAGACGACTCGCGCTGAATTAATGATGACGCGGTGAGAAAAAGACGCAAACTGCCGAGTTGGAGGCGGGAATCGGGTTTCCGGCGGCCATTTTTTTCTTTACACCTGAAGTCTAACATACGGGAGGGGGGGGGGGGGCGGCTGTTCCCTCATCGAGTTAACCCCCCTCTGTTCACCAACTGCAGACCGATCAGTGATCAACAAACACACCAAACTATCGATCCGATGACTTCATCTGGGAATTTAAAAAA